GCGTTGGGGCAGTCTGGGCCTCTCTTGGACATGCGGTTTAGGGTTTAGTGTTTAGGGTTTAGGGTTTAGTGTTTACGGTTTAGGGTTCAGGGTTTAGGGTTTAGGGTTTAGGGTTTGGCGGTTTTATCGGGTGTCTTATATCTTCACGCCATTACCCCCGAAACCTTAAACCCAACTTCCAACCCCAAATGACCTACTTTTTTAGGGCTCCTTTTCAAAAAAAGGGGTAGGTGTTTGAAGGGTGAAGGCTTCACAAGAAGAACCTACAGAAAAGTAGGTTACGGTAGTTCAAGGTAAGCCCTAAAGGACCCGAAACCCTGGACCCAAAACCCCCAAACGCGAAGCCCTAGACCCTAAACCCTAAACCCCCAAGCCCTATAAACCCTAAACCCCCAAACCCTAAGCCCTAAACCCCGAACCCTAAACCCTGAACCCTAAACCCTGAACCCTAAACCCTGAACCCCAGGAAGTTTCAAGTTGCCGAGGATTGGAAGCCGCTGACACACCACAGCGAGGTGCCGGTCAGGACTCCACCACGACGAACACGGGTTAGGGCGTAGGGGTTTAGAGTTTAAAGGGTTTTGGTTTTGGGAGTTTAGGGTTTAGGGTTAAAGTTTAGGGTTTGTAGGGTTTGTAGGGTTTTTGGGGTGTTGAGGTGTTGGTTTCAGGGTTTAGGGCTGTAGGCTTGTGGGTCCAGTCAATATTGTTGCTATAAATCACCTGTGATACTCTTAGCGGTAGGGTAGGTAGTAACCTGTAGCCTTTGTGGGGTTTTACAACCGCCATGTTATCGCAAAGGTTCTATGTCTATAGCTACGACTACCTGCAGTTTTAAAAATCTAAGCCCCTAGCCTTGCACTACTTTCATTTTTCCGCATGAACCCTAAACCCTAAACCCTAATCCCAAAGCCACCTGCACACTTGGACACTGAACCTTTGCTCAAGCCGGAACCCCGCGCCCTGAACCTTGTGGGTTTGGGGTTTAGGGAAACTGAGATTTACCCCAAACCCTAAAAACCCTAAACCCTATAAACCCTAAACCCGCAAACCCTATAAACCCCTAAACCCTATAAACCCTAAACCCCCAAGCCCTAAAAACCCTAAGCCCTATAAACCCTAAGCCCTATACCCCCAAGCCCTATAAACCCCAAACCCTATAAACCCTAAGCTCTAATCCCCCAAACCCTATAAACCCCAAACCCCCAAACCCTATAAACCCTAAACCCTATAACCCCTGAACCCCCAAACCCTATAAACCCCAAACCCCCAAACCCTATAAACCCTAAACCCTATAACCCCTGAACCCCTAAACCCTAAGCCCTAAACCCTAAACCCTAAACCCTAAACCCTAAACCCTAAACTCTAAACCCCCCCCAAACCCTATAAACCCTGAACCCGAATCCCCCAAGCCCTATAATCCCTAAACACTAAACCGGGTTTAGGGTTTAGGGTTTAGGGTTTAGGGTTTAGGGAACCCCCAAGCCCTACAAACCCTGAACCCAAAACCCTCCTAAACCCTAAACCCCGGACCTGCCACCCTGAAGCTCTGCACCCTTCTACTCACCCACGCTGCTGCTTTTAGGGCTTTGGGTTTAGGGTTCAGGCCCAGGGGACTTGGTAAGTAGATACTAAGTAGAGTTATAAGTACCCTAAGCGGGATCCTAATTGGGGTTATGGTACTTCTAAGTCTATAAAATACCTAGTTACTAAGTCCCCCGACCCTCCAAGTAGTGGCCTAGTGATCCCATAGTAATTATGCTTCAAAATATACAGTCACCAACTTTGGTAACATTTCTGACGAGCCCCATATACACGCACCAAGAACCCGAATCGGAATCTAAAGCCTTAAGACCTTATAAAACTGTTCATGTGCACAGGAGCTCCGATGATCTGCGCAGGCGTCAGGCCTTTTACACTTCCGCCGGGGCCCTGTGACAATTTGTGGGTCAGGGTTCGGGGTTGTAGGGGACTTCTTTTTCTTTTACTCTCAAAAGCAGGAGTATTAGGGCAAATAAAGGTTTAATTATAGGGTTCCGCAGGGCAGGCAAGGGTTTTTGCTTCTAGGACATGTAAAGTTTATACTGTATTTATACTGGTTCTTTAAACAGGCTCAGAGAGCCCAATACCCCTTAACTAAGGAATATACCTTAAACCATAATAATAGGTAGACTCCTGAATTAGGGCGTATGGGGCTCTCTGGGGGGCTTTATGCCAGGGATGTCCTCTCTCCTGCCGAAAAGGATTTGAAAAGTTTTCGGGCTTTAGGGTGGGTTTAGGGGAAGTTTAGGGCTTTAGGGTTTAGGGTGTACAGGGTTTAGGGTCAAGGGTTCGTAGGGTTTAGGGTGTTTAGGAGGGGTCTTCGGAGGCGTGCAGGGGCTTTGGGTGACCTCGACCCCCTGTGCCCTAAACATCCCTAAACCCCAAATCCTAGACCCTAAATACTGGGGTCTGGAGTACCATGCTTGAATACTTTTTTGAGTTGTTCCTTAAACGAACCCTTATGAAGTAAAAGTCTATATGTTTTTCTCCTTGGTTACTTCACAGGGGGGTAAACTTTCTACCCTAAACCTTTGATGCAAGCTGGACATGTCGCAGATTTCTACTACCATTACATACAGTTCCTTCTTAGTGTGATGGTACGAAGTATCCTAAAGCCTTAGTCATTGTACTCATCAGAAGCGCCCCCACGCCAGACCTCTGTTTCAAACCCCTCGTAGAACAGTACAGGAGCCCTTACGGGGCTCTGAGAACCCTAAACCCTCCTAAACCCTCAACCCTCAACCCTAAATCCACAACCCTAAATGAAACCCTAAGAACCCACAGGTGGACATGGCACAGATTGGTAAAGTTCTCGTCTCGGCGGGGCTCTTCCAAGGTGCCCTCGGCAGAAAACTTTCCAACTCCTCATGTTCAAAGCCTCAAAGCTTTCAGGGCTTTGGGTTTAGGGTTTGGGGTGGGGGTGTGCAGGTTCAGGCTATTCATGACTTAGTTGCAAGTTTCAAGTGCGATGTTGTCTATCGCTGGTCCCCTTCCCTAGGGGCTGAGCCTCTAAACCTGAACCTGAACCCCAACACCCCGACGCCGCTTGCATAGCCCGACCTAGACGGGAGAAGATTGGTTGATGTCTGAGCACATATCTGAGAGGTCTCGGTCGTTGACCTTAGGGTAGTTGTCCGGGTGGGTGGGGTTTTCCAAGGTCTTTGGTTGTACATTTTCACGACTGTTGGCATCCCACCTTTGTCGACAGTCTAACCGAGCAAACATCGTAGCAGCGCATTCAAACCGTTTGCTGTGATGTCAGCAAGTCAACATCATGTTTGAGGTCAGGCTACGGCAAGGCAGGTGAACCCATGCGATGATGCTGGTCCGGACCCAAAGCTCGGGAAAGGTGGAGTCATGCAGGACACAGTCGGAATGAATCGCGATATTCGTGGAGGCAGTTGCCTTTTCGCAATCCCAAGAAGAAAAAACGGAGCTGCGCAGCTGCTCGTGGGGCAACTGCCAGGCCGGGATCTGTGCAGAAGGACGAAAGCAACGCCAACACGTGGTCTAACAAGAACGTGGCCTTGGATGAGAAAACTGATCGACCCACTCGACCCTAAAGCCTAAACCCGAATATAAGCTCTCGACCCGGGGATAGAATTGAGAGGCCTTACCATGATGTATGCTTCGGAGCCTGAAGACATGCGTTGCTTTTTGTTTTGTCAGCCCTGGGTTACTTCAGTTAAGGGTTAAGGGATTATATAGGGTTCGGGCATTAGGGATTAAGGTTTAAGGTTTAGGGTTTAGGGTTTAGGGTTCAGGGTTTAGGGTTTAGGGTTTAGGGTTTAGGGTGTGGGGCGCTTGGGGGATCGAGGGTCGAAGGCTTCCTTGGTAGCAGTGGCAGTGGGTGCACAGAGTTTGGATGGGAAGCTCCGGCTTCCAAGTTTGTGCAACCGAAGCATGTCAGAGAAACGGCAGGGTTTAGGGTTTAGGGTTTAGGGTTTAGGGTTTAGGGTTTAGTAAGAGTGTTTTTATGCCGGAAAAAAGACCAATTGTACGGTATTCCTCAGGGTATTTCTCAGGGCTCGTTTTTTGGTGTACCATCATCGACACTGAAACCCTTATCTGCTTCTTACGACCCCTGCGTTATCAGTATCTCCGCACAGCCCGTCTACGGTCTCGGGCTTATGGTTAAACCCGCAAACACTTGAAAGAAAAGCATCGTGCAATCCCACAGAGCACAATACCTGAATACCTCTTAGTTATGATTTATCCCTTATGCATCATACATCATGAGGGGCTTCATATTGTGAACTCATGAGGGGCTTCATATTCTGAATTCAGCTATATTCTTTAATTAAGGGGTCTTGGGCTCCCTGGGATGAACCTGCAGGCGGCTTCTGCAACGGTGCCAACGATCCTGAGCTTGGGCCTCAGTTTTCCTTAAGACGCGGGGCCCCTTGGTCCCTTTAGGGTAAATCTGCCCTTTAACGGCCCGGATCTCTTCAAGGCTTCCTTTCGTTCCCTGCGACAACATAAGCTCATTCGTTAATTGAAATGACGAGTCAGGTGTGGAGCTGCCTTGCACTTGAGGGGAGTGTACACGGGCAGGGTTTAGGGTCTTGGGTAGGGGCCTTCGTTTCCTTCTGCGATTAGGGCCACCCCCCCATATTGACACAGGAGGAAAGGATGTGAGGTGTGCTTGTGGATAGCGACACAGCCTCGAATCCCGCCAGTAGTTAGGCACGCTTTGGAGCACTTGGGGTGAAGCAGTTTGGTGTGCCAGTGGTCTCCTGGTGCCTCCTGGTCTCCTGGTTGTCAAGACGGTTGTTTGGGATGTTGTAGTGGTCGTCATGGTGCTCCTCGTGGTGGCGTTTATCATGGTCGTCATCGTCGTCGTCGTGCGGTTTCACTGTTTGGGGATCTTCACTGGCATAATGGTGCGGGACGGGTACCTTAGGGTTTTGGGTTTTGTTCATGGTTCAGGAATATATACAAAGACGGCTTTGGTGAGCAGAAAGTATGGTGGCCCGAAAGCATGCTAATGAACGAACGCACGCCTGCTTGAATTTTCATTTCAATGTAGATACATCGTAGATATACCAGATGAGTCAACAACCAAACATACATAATATGTGCATCAGCATCAACCTACGTATACATGTGTATTTTTACAAAGTGATTCTTACCTCGAACCAGTGCATGCTATCCTGATTCTTGAAGCATTATTACTTAGTGGTTCTGCAACTTTCTTTCAGATGTCGAAGCATCCTTACGGGCAAAAATAAATAAATAAATATATATATATATATATATACACATACATACAGGGGTCAGTCGCCGCACCGCTTGGATGCAATCTGCAGGAACTAAACAGATCCTTCTAACCCCCGCATTGTGATTGTCTCTGCTAAACCCTACAAGCCTGCAATCCGAAACTTCAACCACAACTCTACTAGACCCTAAGCCCCTAAGCCCAAAACCCTAAGCCCTAAACCCCAAGCCCGAAAATCTCCGCCCTCAGCTCTACACCCCTACAGACGGAACCCTAAACCCTTAAAAGGGAGATGGAAGTCTCCGGGTAAGCAAAGGCTGCACCCGGAAACTTGGGTTTAGGGTTTAGGGTTTAGGGTTTAGGGTTTAGGGTTTAGGGTTTAGGGTTTAGGGTTCAGGGTCCCAGAAACTGGGGTTCCCCCCACCCCAACCCCAGCCCTCGCACTAAGCCCTGGGTCCCAAACATCCCCGAACCTATCACTTTAAAACTCATTGTCACTATTGTTGATGATATGAATCCTGCTTTACCTTAAGGACCGTAAATATGGGAATTTGTTGTATATGGCTTATTATGGGTAATGCAGGATTTATATCATCTACCGTATCACTATTACTATTACTCTTATTATATGAGTGCCCTTACTATTCATTACTAAAATTGACTACCATGAATATTATTGTTACGTTGTTACATCCCCAAACCCTAAACCTTAGACCTTAAACTTCGCATGACAGGAGAACTCTGGCACTTTTGGTCTTGACAGCCATCCACGACATCATGAAGGCCCCTTCAAGTTTTAGTGGGTTGGAGTTTAGGGTCCCTTGAATTACTGTCATTTCGGGTTTAGGGTTTACCGTTTCCAGCGTGGGCAGTTGCATCCGGGTTCTATGATTTGAATATCTTGAATCGTGAGCTGCTTCGATGCTTGTCCGATGGAGAGACTGATACTATGGGTTCCACAGATCGCTCAGCCATCAGTATAGCCCTAAACCCTAGCAAAACGAGTGTTCCGGAATCAAAAGGCCGCGCAAGCAAAGATGCTTTGACCTTGGGCTGCAAAAGCACTGAGCGAGCAGGCACACTCTTTAGGGGTTTAGGGTTCGGGTTAAGCGGGTTTAGGGTTTAGGGGGTTTCAACAAACAGTGACCCACGAGCAAGCATGGGTGGTTTCATGCTTGGTTTAACGGTTGACCCTAGGACTTAACCACTATAACCTAGCTTGTTCTGTAACTCCAGATTGCCCCGCCGTAACCCTAACCGATCAACAACCAGAAGAATTCAGAACATATCTACAAACTGTTAAAATGTCGGTCTCGACAGGAGAAGAGAAAGCCTTAATTAAATCTACACCAGGTGAACAGCTTGCTCCCGGTGGTCACGGAAGAGAGTGGCCCATTCGAGAAGCACAAGGTGCTCTGGTGCCTGGACTTGCGGGTTTGGGATTTTAGGTTTCATAGAGTGAAATTCGATCTTATGCGGCTGACAAGGGTTTTCAGAACGGTTTTAATAAGTCGTATAGGCCTTGGATGAGGGTTTATTGTGGCTATGTAGATTTCCCATTAGGGTGATGCTTCAGGTGCCTGAAGCCACAACTGATATCCCTAAGCTTAGCCCCTAAACTCGAAACCGTAAAGACCTAAACCCTGAAGCCCTGAAGCCGAAAAGTTGATACCCCAAAACACTGAACCCTAAGCCTACTGCTCCCATACCCCTAAACCCTAAACCCTAAACCATACCTCCGAGATCCTAAATAGTCTGTCCTATGCAGACACGGAGCTACTTGCGCTTGTAGTAGGCTTAAGTGTGGGTTTTGCGAGTACGTAGTTAGCACAAAAGAACACTCCTAAAATACATAGTCCGCAGGAGCCTTAAATCCTGGTAAAAGCACTCGTACTCTTGCATGCATAAATTTTAGGCAGTTTGATGCATCAACACCACGACCCAGGGTTAGGGATTTAGGGTTTAGGGTTAAGGGCTTCATGGCATAAGGGTTTGTAGGGCTTGGGGGTTTGGGGGTTTCAAGGCCCTAGTCTTTCTGATATCCGGCCGCACACAAAGATTTGCGTTCATCGTGGAAAAGTTAGTCAGTTAGTCAGAGTTGGGCATTTCGGTATCTGAGGAAAGTACTTTTACAGTGTGCTCGAAAAGTGGGTTTCCAAACTGCGCATCAGCAGATCATCCAATCAGCCGATCGGATGATCTGCTGATCGGCTGGTCGGGTTTAGGGTTTATTAGGGGTTTAGGGTTTACCGGTGTAGAGTTTGGGGGTTTAGGGTTTATGGCTGATTGGCTGATCGTTTGATCGGCTGATCGGCTGATGCACGATTTTGGGCCCAAAACCCACGCACACTGTACTTCCCTAAACCCTAAACCCTAAACCCTAAACCCTATTATACCCTAAATTTGTACTTTCATGGCTGCCAGGTTGGCGAAGTGATCTACAACCACGATACGGCGCTCGGGTGCCTGCAGCTGACTTCTGTGTGCTTTTCTTTTGGGGCGGAGGGTTTAGGGTTTAGAGTTTAGGGTTTAGGTCTACATAAGGAATCCTTCCTGAGGCATTAGGGCAAATGGTCCGCCAAGACTGCCCGTCGGAACTTGTGAGGGGATAGGCGGTTAAAGTCCGTTCATTTGTTTTTAAAACACGCAACAGGCTTGTGCAGTGCCAAGCAATTTGTAAGCGGTGTCCGGGCCGTAAACGCTAATCCCTAAGCCCAAACGAAGCCCGAGATGGGTATGTAGTTCGCTGAATTAACATCCCGTCTAGGGGGCTTATCACAAGAGGGGCGCAAAACTAAGAACTTTCTACGTGTTAAATAGGTTATAAGGTAGCCCAAAATCTCATTCTAATGATTACGCTCCGCTCCGGTCCAGCGCCCAGACCTGTGGGGGGCGTGAGGGGAGGCTATGACGTTTTTGTTTAGTGCTTCCTCGGTCTTCATTTGTGATTCCTGTGTGGTCTTGCTCCTGTGTTCTTGTCTTCTTGAGAGGTGCGAGGGGGAGGAGGGTGAGGGGGGGGAACTAATGATGTTCTTGCTTCGTGCTTCTTCGCGGGGTTCTTCTTTCGTGATTCCTGTGTTCTTGTTCCTTAAACCCTAAGCCCTAAACCCGTGTTCTTGCCTTTTTGAATGTAAAGCACATGCTCCGAGCCCGATCACCTTTGCAAAGAAGAATCCGGGGCTTGGGGTTTATAAAGGCTCTAGGATGCACGGTTTAGGGTATAGGCTTTAGGGCATTAGGGTGTAGGGTGTAGCGTTATGGAGAGGTCTAGACAGACCCTGACGGTTTAGGGTTGTGGATGGTGCCAGCTTGAAAAAATTATGCCATGCCTTCTCGAGAACACCTGAGTCGTTTGGGCAACACTTGTTGAACACTTGTTCTTGACTACGTAGTATTCGGATATTCTGCATTGCAGATGCTTTAAGTTGTGATGCAATGCCCAATTCCAGAAGCATCTTTATCACAGGTAGGTGCTGCAATTCCCCAAACCGAAAGCCCTAAACCCTGAACCCCGAACCCTACACTCTAAACCCTGAGCCCCGAACAACCCTAAACCCTGAGCCCTAAACCCTAGACCCTAGACCCTAGACCCTAGACCCTAGACCCTAAACCCTAAACCCTAAACCCTAAACCCTAAACCCCATGCCAGGTACGTGCTGCAATGGATGCCCTCGGTGCTCCCCTCCTACGCGGGACTCCCCGAGGTGCTACGACATGGGCAACAGCGAGGGTTTCGGGCCAGCGAGACTAGGAGAGGGCTTTAAGCTTTAAGGGTTTAGGGTTTAGGGCTTTAGGGCTTTAGGGTCTAGGGTTTAGGGAACTCAATAACAGTAAGTAACTAGTAAGGGTATAGTTAGGATAACCCCAGTTTGGTGACTATAGCCTACTTGGTACGTCCCCTGAGCCCATAAGTAAGCTAAGTTCAGGAAACCCCTCTTTGGTCCGCCCCAAACCCTGAACCCGAGGAATATCCTCAACCCTAAAACCCCCGGTACCCCTAAACCCTAAATCGTAAACTCCTAAACCCTAAAGCCCTAAACCCTACACGCGGAAACTCGGCAACACCCGGCTGTGGGGCTACTTACTTTGTCCTAAACTGACACAGCTTCGGCTTTGATCAAGTACGGGGTTTAGGGTTTCGGGTTTCTGGTTTAGGGTTTAGGGCTTCGGCTTTGATTAAGTAGTCTGGAATCTGTAACCCCAGTCCCGTTAATAAACCCTAGCTGCATGGCCAGGGGATGTTTGATGGATTCGTTCCATTTCTCATTCATCCAGAAATACTAAGAAAACTCTGCCAAAACCCTTGTGTAACCCTACAAATCCTCATTTATAGAATCCTGGAAAACCCTTGCAATATGCAGCCTCCATGATTACGAGTGAAACTCTTTCGAGCTCCTTATATAATTCTACCATCATTATACTACAACATACCCCAAACGCCTATGTTAGTTATTAGGATTGTAATGGAATCGGCACGTCTGCACTTCGAGGAAGTAGTTCTTCAAGCACCACCGACCCCGAGGAGTGGGGGGGTCCAGGGTCCAAGGCCCCAAGGTTTAGACTTTAGGGGTCATGTTGCAGGATCTAGGGTTTAAGGCTTATAGGAATCTCCCGCTGACAAACATAGGTTGTGACGGGTCCAGGTGTCAGAAGCTCGGAGGTAGCCCTTTAAGCTGTTCATCTTCACCCTAAACCCTAAACCCTAAACCCTAAACCCTAAACCCTAAACCCTAAACCCTAAACCGTTGTTCATCTTCTTGGGGTTGGCAGAAGCTTATCCTTCTGTCCGGGACGCTAGAAGCGAGCAAAGTCGCACACCAGCACCCCCGAATCTGAACTTAGTCTATTCCCGTAATATAGGAGCCTTAATAATTAGAATAGGGTTTGGGGTATATTATACTACAGTTTTTAATAAGGACCCCCCCAAAAAAAAATCCGATTAGAATTATTAATTAAGGCTTCTACATTATTTCAACTTTCCGGCTTCTTGAGCTGACACTGTAATGCATGGCCACGTATTGTCGGGCAGGTTGCTAGATCATGACATGCCCGACACTTGTCAGCCTATGGCATATAATCAAAGTGCCGGAAGCATGCTGTACTATGCTCTAGCCCTTCATTGTACATGACCGCTTGTCAGAGAAGGCTAGAGCATAAAGGATTCAAACTCAAGCGAACCTGCAAATATTCTACAGAAGACATCTTGCAGTAGATCGTAAAAATCGTAATGTATCAGGCACTATTTCGATAGATTCCGCATCATCCCCCAAAAGTCTAAGTTCCACATCACGCCGTTAAGGCATCTTCGGCACAAAGGACCCCCCCCCCCCTAAACCCTAAACCCCAAACCCTACACCCTAAACCCCAAAATAGTATAGGTAATTATTAAGGCCCCCATAGTAACCCCTTTGAAGTCTGGAACC